TGAGCCCAGAGGGAGGCCAGCATCAGAGGCAGGAAATGAAGAAGAATTTGCGATCTAATTGAGCTGGCGGGGGATTAGGCAGCAGAATGCAATTACAGGGGCTGAAATGAGGCCAGAGGCACTGACACCCCAAGATGTGGCCTGGCCCAGGTAACTAGGCCCAGACAGTCTCTGGCCAGAGACACCCAGTCTGGGGGGTTGGGGGGAGAGGGGCCTGGTGGCAAGGTTTAGGACCAGACTGCTCCTCAGTACACACAGGACTATAGGACTCCAGTTCCACATGGCACCCAGAAGCAAGAAATATTCCTGGGAAGTCTCGCGGGTGGAACAGTCCTTGGACCGTCACAGGAGCGCAGGCAAACAAGGCACACCCCTCTCACAGGCTCTGCTCTGCTCATGTGTGTACAGACATGTGCTCATGCTCCCAGGTAAACCTCACATAGTCATGCTTACTTCCATGGGAACAGACTTCCTAACGTACACACACAGTCCTGGACCCTTACTGCCACCAGCTCTGCCAAAGAGGGGAAAAACTACCAAACAACAGAAAAAAAAAAAAAAACTCATGACCTTAAAATCCTTTTATTCCCATAATCACAGGCTGCCATCGACATGGATACGCGCTGTCACCTCGGCCCCAGCCTGTCTCCCTCCAAGGTTTCCAAAACTCCCGGCAGGCAGGCAAGCAGACCAGGGAGAAGGGGAGGCTGCCCAGTTACTGCCAGGGGAGGGTGGGGAGGGGAAGGACCGGATAGAAGAAGTCTAATGCTACACATACTCATACTCACACTAGGTGCCTCAACCAACCAGGGAGAAACTCAGAGACAAACCGGCCGACAGAGACACAGATAGAGAAACCCACAGAGCCTAGCCACGGAAGACAGACGGATACAGACCACTGCCCACACACACTGCTTAGATATGCCTACTCCCTAATTCACACACACATTCACAATTCAGATACACACCATGCAGGGAGTCAAGACACTCCCAGATTTACAAGCAGATAGAAAAAAACACAGAATACATAAATCACAAACACATATACATACCCTCCAAAATTCAAGAACATACTACTCACAAAACATATACATTCCCCTAGATTCACAGGGCTATATACAACTTTCAGTTGTACACTCTCAGATTCATAAACACAGTGCACATACCATGCACAGATATACACACTCCTGGATACAAAGGAAGGCATATGCCCTGATTCAAATACACTCATGCTCAAATTCCATATAGACACACATACATGCCACATACAAATTCAGAGACACACAAGTTACTTATACACATCCCGAGGCATAAGCACACACCATCAATATTCCCAAGTCCTAGAGCAAAAAAACTAGTAGCCACACACAGCCCCACCTGTCTGCTGAAGCTGCATTTGGTTTAAAGAGCAGGTGAAGTGGTTGTAGATTCCTGGGTCTTTGAGGGGACAATCCTTTCTTACTGCCTGCATCCTAGGAGGGTGAGTTAATAGTTGAGAGGGAATTGAGGGAAGTAAGAGAAAGAGAGCAAGAAAAAAAAAACAAAAAAAAACTTTAGTGTGATATTCTTGTTGGGCAGTAGTGCATGAGTAACTAAGGTTGCTTTTTGTGGTCTGGTGAGCTTCAGCTATGAGTTGAGAGTTTAACTATTAATACACTTAATCAAGGACAATTCACACACACACATACTCATATACAGAGGCTAGGATGCCACTGGATGATGCATATAAGAAAGGGAGAAGCCGAGGACAAGGAGAGAAAAAAGAAAAAAAGCAAGGGAGTGAGAAAGCTCCAATCAGGGCCTGAGTGGGTGGGAAAGAGGGCGGAGCCTCCAGAGCCCGGAACAGAAGAGGGACTCATTCAGGTAGGTACTGACCACACAATAGGTTCTCAACAAATAGTTATTGGGTCAATGAATGGATGAATCTCTATATATAAAGAGTGGACAATAATAATAACATTCATAACAATAAATGAACACTCCCATCCTTGGCCAGAAAAGGAATTAAAGGTCAAAGGACGCAGCCACTAGTGGTGGTGGTGGTTGTGTGTCATTGAGTCGATTTCTAACTCATAGAGACCCTATATAGGTTTTCTGAGATTGTAAATCTTTACAAGAGCAGAAAGCCTCATCTTTCTCCCATAGAATGCCTGGTGTGCTCCAACTACTGACCTTGTGATTCGTCCAACACATAGCCTACTATGCCACCAGGGCACCTCATCCTGCACCTGGGAAGTCAGTTGGCCTCAGCCCATTTCCATATTCTTCCTAAGGAGACCATCTCCAACAAGCCTTACAGATATAGTCCACCCTGTCACCTCACTAGGTGAAGAAGGTGGGGTAATTAGTTCCCAGAGACTTGGTGCCTTACCCAGATGCAACCCTACCTTTCACACCCCTATGGGCATCCGTTTCACATTCGTTAAATGGATAGAAAGCAGAAAGAGGAACCAAGGAGTTGAGGGTCCCAGTGGGAACCCGTGGACATAGGCCTGCGCTGGCCTGGGCCCTGGATACAGAACCCTCCCCTCCCCCTATCCAACCTAGCCCAACCCAGTCGGATGGACATTCCAGGCCTCACATGATAAAGAGGAGGCCACTGGCCTGCGAGTAAGTCAACAGGCTCTGTCGGGGGAGAGATAGGAAGACTGGGCCAGGGTCACCTGCTGAGTTGGGAAAACAGCTGGGCCCAAATACACACATAAATAAGGCTCCAGCCTACAGCTAGTCAAGCAGCCAAGGGTCCCTCTTCACAGAGGAACCTCTACCCCCACACCTTGAAAGGGGGATGGCATAGAAGGACAGCACAAGGCTAGCTGGGTGAGACCCAGCTCCTGCCAAGACAGGGTGGGGGTGGGTTTCTACCAAGCCCCCCAGGGGTGACTGGGGAGTCCTAGGCCAACCTCCTACAACTATCCTCACCTCTTCTCCCTCCTCACCAAGGAGAAAGGATAATTTCCGTTCTGGGGGGGGGGCGGACGGTGACAGCTGCAGAGCGAGCCACTGCTCCCCCCCTTGAGTCTCATCCAGGGAAACTGCTAAATCAACACTGCGCAATCGGCAACATGGGCCTCAGTCTCCCCACACCGCTCTCAAAAAGGGAAGCTGGGAGAGATTCTGGTTCCCAGTTTCGGGGGTCTTTCAAGAGGGGGGAATCAGCTCAAGCTTAAGTCAGTATGTCCCCTAAAAACGTATAATTAAATGCTCCCAGTTTCACGCCCCTCGCCGCTGCGGGTCAAGGCAGCAGAGGTGGCGCCGGGCGTTCAAATAGCGCTCCAAACAAGTCCGCTCGCAGCCCCCGCCAGGCGGCCCCAGCGGAAAACTTGAAAGGGACTCTGTTTGCCAGCGGCCCTGGGGCGGCTCTGGCGGGGGCGTGGGCCGAGCGATCATACACGCCCCCTTCCCCAGTGTTTCCTGGGCAAACGCGGGGGCGGGGGTGAACTGGGCCCACCACAAAACCAAGGGCTCCAAACAGCGCCCGCTGTGAAGAGAAAGGCGAGGGAGTGGGGGATCTAAGAGGTTGGACCCCCAGACCTCCCTTCAGCTCCTGTCTATAGTTCGAAGATGTGGCTCTCAGACCACCCAGGGTCTAGGGGGCAAAGGTGGGAGAGGCTGCCAACCTTTCAGATCCCCATGGCAGGGGGCTCTAAGAGAGAGCCGGGTCTTTCTGGATTAGTCACTACAGAACCCCCAAACATGCGGTGTCTCTTTGCAACCCGTGATACCAGTACGACTTTGAACACCCCTTGCAATTCCTAAAAATTTTTAATAAGCGATCTGACTCCCCGATTGGGCGCTTCAGCTCTTCTGACAGGTTGCGCGAGTGGTCCCCCATTTAAAAACTAGAATCATTCACTTTTAGTCGATCCTACAAATAAACAAAGCCAGGCGCACCCCCGCGATCCCTGCCGGAAAGCAGACCATTCTGGGTGAAGAAAACTTCCCCCAGTAAGAAAATTAACACATTCCTCTCGCAGTGGTTCAGCCCCTCGCAGCAGGGAAGCGAAGGGGAGGGGGAAAGGGGACCGAACTTCAGTGGTAAATTTGGGGCCAAGGCAGCGTGGCAGAAGGCTAGGACGCACCCTTCTCCCAGCTCCGCAGTTAGGGGAATACCCCCATTCTCCCACCCTGGCCTAGCACGCTGCTTGGCCCACGCGTGGCTAGGGAAAGAGATCGAAAGACTCCCCTAAGGCTGGGAGGAAGGGAGAGAGAAGCGGCGGAGTGCAAAGGAGGGTGGGTAAAAGCTAAGGGGGGGAGGTCAAACTTGAGCAGCCCCGCCAGGCACACCTCAGGCAGTGGGGGGGCACGAGTCAGAAGGGAAATGCAGAAGTGGCCGTCACCCCCCCCCCAAGTGGAGGAGGAGGCTCAGCTACGCAAGGTCGAGTGCGTTCAAGTCAGTTACTGTTGCCCCAAAACACAGGGCTGTGAGTGGGGTTCTGACTGGTGGAGTGTGCGCTGGAGATATCCAAGCAGCCGCCCCCGCAGGCGAGCGCCCGCTCAACGCTAGGAGGTGAGAATCCTGGGCTCCCGCCGCCCCAGCACCAAGATCAAGAGTAACTGGGAATGGGGCGGCACCCCGCAGGGAGAGCCTCGGTCCCACTCTCCGGGTGTCCAACATGCAGTCCCCGACCCTAAAACCTCTCTTTTTGTCTGAACTCAGTGATCTGCGACCGAGCCGACTGCGGCTTGGGGATAGCAGGGACCGTCGAGCGATCATCGGCGCTAGGGCTTCCAATCTCTGGGGCTCACAGCTCAGGTTGCGGGTGCCCCCACCCCCGCTCCTCCCGAACACCAGCCCCTCCTTCCCTATCCCTGACTCTCCGCACCTGAACTTCGGGGAGTCTGGGGAGTCCGCGCCGCCAAACTTTCCGCGGACTTGAAGCGAACTCCGGCCCCGGCCGCTCACCGGCCCCGCGGGAGAAGGAGGAAGGCGGGGAAGGGGAGGGGGCTGGCCTCTGGGGGGGGGGGGTGTCGGGGGAGGGCTGTGGCCCAACACCTACCGTCTCTCCGAGTCGTCCAAGCCGTCACTGCCGCCGCAGCCTTGTGGCCGAGGGGGAGGGGCGGGGCTGGAAGCTGCGCTCCGCTCTGCTCTGCTCTGGGCACCGCGGGCGGCTTGCGCTCCGCTCCCGCGGCTCCGGGGTCCGGAGCTCGAGTCGCGCCGCTGCCGCTGGCCTGAGGCGGGGAGGGGGGGGGAGCTGCAGCACCTGCCCCTCCTCCCCCTCCCCGCGGCCAAATTAAAAAAACAACAAAAAGCAACTAATCACCCCGGAGTGGAGTGCAGCGAGGCGGGCGGAGGGCGCAGCGTGCGGCGCCTGGACTCAGCAGGCGGCGCGCATGGCTGGACGCGGGCTGGGCAGGGCTGGGACGCGGGGCCAGCGTCGGAGCTCAAGGCTTAACTGCTTTTCTAGCTCGGCTCGGGCGTCTGCTCTCGCCGCCGCCGCTGCCTCTGCTGCCGCCAGTGCCGCCGCCTCTACATCCCTGCTCAGGCTCCGCCGCCTCTGCCGCCGCGCGCCCGCCTGGGCTAGAGCTCTGAATGCTGCCCGGGGGCTGCCGGCAAAACCCGGACCGGACTCTCGGCTCCTCCCCCCGCTTTTCCACTTCAGCTCCCCTCCCTCTTCCCTCCGCCTCTCTCCCAGCGCTGCTCAGGCCACTCGGACGCAGCAGGCTCTGGGGCCAGAGCCTCAGTCGCGGCGCCTCAATCGCCCCATGCTCTAGTGAGATCTACTCAGGCTGGACTCCCCCCTGCATACCCCATCTTCCCCCCTTTTCCTGAAACTTTACAAAAAATAGCAGGACCTCCCCACTTCTGTGACGGGTGCTTGGGGTTGAAAAGGCACCTTCCGGAGAAACCAGCCTTCTTTGCCCAGGTTTTGGCTGGGCGCGAAAACTACTGGAACTTGGAGGGTTTAGCCGCGCCCCTCAGCAAGGTGCGCTTCTTAGTCAACTGGTCCTGGAGCTAGACGCAAATTCAAAGACCTCACCCTTCCCAGAGAATTCTCTGGGCTTAGTGGGCACTTGGTCCCATGAGAAGAGAGGCCGAGAGTCTTGTCCCTATTTCACAGATGAGAAAACTGATCCAAGAAAGGACGTTTTGCCTCCTACATAGACGTCCACCCCAAACTGAGTCCTGGGGGCGACAGTGACTAGATTGCCTTGCCCTGGAGCCATGGACGGACAACGGAAGAGCTAAATCTAAAACAGTGCCTGACACAAAACAGCGCTCAATAGATAATTGGCTGAAAGAAAGAAGGAAACCCATTTTCTGACAAGTAGGCACCCAGTGAAGCACCCAATGGGAACAGGTTTGGGTTCCTGCATCCTCACTCACTCAAAGCTCTTTCCATCTGCCCGGCTTGGATTAATCCTAAAACTGCGAATGCCTTCCTCGCCTCCAGAGGAGGGGTGCTAGGGTGAGCCCCGCGGTTCACATAATCCCAAACTAGCTAATTCCAAAGTGGAAAGTTTACCCAATTCTCTGGAATTAATGGGAGCAGATTTGTGCAGCCAGGCAAAACCTTCTTCCATATAGAGGAAAGGAAGCCCCCAGACCCGAGACCTGAACTGAGGAGAAACTGGGCAATTAGTAAACTCCGTTTAGCGGGTTAAACCGGTTAAGCGTTACAGCCTGCGATCGATTGGAGTCCAGATAACAAGGGGGGTGGGTGGGTGGGTTATCTGTGATGACCCAGGAGTCTCCAACCACAAGGCTTGACCTCGGTGGGAAAGTCAAAACCGTCTCCCACCTCACACTTCCTCTCCTTTAGAGAGAGGGTGGGAGGTTGGGTCTCCCTGGAACCAACCTCTGAAGCCCATTCTACAACTAAAAGCCTTCAACTGAGATTTTGCTGGGGGGAAGGGAGGGAGGAGGTGTCATTGGGCATCCCCTTCTCCCCCCACCTCCTTTGGTGGTGGTGGTGAGTGTGTGGGTGCACTTCTCTCCCTCTTTGTGTTGCTTTTACCACAGGGAGTATTCTCAGACACTGTGGACACCCTCTTCTAGCCAATTCCTTCTACAAATACCAAGAAGTGCCCTCCTCTACCTTCTGTGCCAGCGGCTCATAGGGTTGTTGTTTAAGCCTCTCTCCTCTTCTTCAACAGTCCTCCTCAAAGCTACCCTAAGGAAGCACACTTACTATGTGTATAAAAGCAATTTAGTTACTGTGGAAAAGTTTGCAGACAAGTGAACACTCCCAGATTATCACCCTTAAAAAGTTTAAAGAGAGATATTCTGGGCCCCACCTTGAATGCCAGGCACAGAGTCTCATAAGGAAAATTGAGGCCAAGTCCCAGGTCTATATGCCCTAGGATCTCCAAGCATTTAACCCATCTCTATCTACTTTTGTTGGGAAGCTGAGGCACAGACTGTGAAGGGGTCCAGTTCCCTGGAATTCAGCAGCAGGCCTGGAAGGACCAGGACCCCAAAACTGAAATTTCATGAGTCTTCCAAGGCTCATGAAACCCAGGATGCACCTGAAAAGTGCTTCATGCTGGGATTCATATGGGAGAGTAGGTAGTAGCTCAACCTCAGGAAATTAATTATCTAGGAGTCCTGGTGTAGTGCTGTAGGATAGGCATTGGACTGCAGAGTCATTTGAACCACAAGGTCAGCAGTTCAAACTCACCCAGCTGCTCCTTGGAAACCCTATACAGGGTCGTCGTTATGAGTCAGAACCAACTCAACAGCACTTAACAAAAAACAACATTAATTATCTAGGAGACTTCCGTGTCCCCTCCCCAACTCAGGAGGGCAAAAGTCAATGGGTGGAGGTTAAATGGAGGAGCCAGGTAGGAATTAGAAAGCACAGGGGCATAATGGCCCATGTGGAAAATGGAACATAATAGGAAATGTCATGTGCAAGTCAACTATACAAATGACAAGTGAGACAAATGAGGGACATCCTGCCCTTGGGGGAGACCATCCCTACCCCAGCTCCCTTTCCCAGGAAGAAGGGAATCCAGCAAGGTTCACTATTCTCTCTCTCTCTCCTCTCCTGGCCTCCACATAGAAATGTGTAATTCTCACATTGTTATTCAACTCTGCCTAGTGAGGTCTCTTAACCAATCAATTAGCTGCTGAGACAGAAAGCAAGTTCCTTAAGTCTCCAGCATCTTTTAGGGGGAAGGGGAACTCAGCATCCAACTTCCAGAGGGCCCTATCTTCTGGGATGGGTCACATCCTTCTCTTCCCTGGATCTTAGTGATAATATCCATGGCTGTGGCATTTAGGATAAGCACTGGACTGCTAACTCCAAGACTGGTGGTTCAAAGCCACCAGCCGCTCCTTAGAACCAAGGATAACAAGAAGCATTTATGAAACCCTTACCCCTAAAGTGTATATTGTGTTAAAGTTAGGTTACATCATGTCATTTAATCCTCCTATCAGCCGCCTTAGTGATCATATCATCCCCATATTTCAGATGACGAAACTGAAGCAAGACAGGTACTAAATTTGTTCTTCTAACTCTTGGGGAGATTTGCAACTCTACTGAAGTATCTTTCATACAGATTTGACCTGGAGGTCATACCTTGCAGTGGCTCCTCAGAGCCCAAGCCCCCCATGCCACCCAGTCTGGTTTACATGACCTGGTTTCCATGACAAGCCGGTACTTATCCCTGCAACCCCTGGGTTGTTTCCTCAGGCACCCCAAGAATCCCCTTCAGGTTTCATGACTTTGCATTTACTGTTCCCTCTGCTTAGAAAACTCTTAGAAAGCTCACCTAGTGAATACCTCATTGAAGACCAAGAATATGTATCACCTTTACTGGAAACCTTCTCTAACTGCCACTCCCAGCCTGAGTTTGGCCCATACCCACAAGGCCACCACTAGTGCATGTCAGAAAAAAGTTTTCCCCTTTACTTAGAAATACAAATTCACACAACAGGTCTTGGACTACCTTTCAACCTTGTGAGTCTGCTTCATCAGGTGCCCTTTGGCAAATACATTCACTGCAAAACTGTACTCTGTGGCCTATCTATCCTCTCCTAATGGCCACAGTGACCACACTGCATAGAAATAAGTTGTATTTGCTCACTTGTCCCTCCTCCCTATCATTACTACCACCCTGAAAGTTCTTTGAGAGTAGAGTCTTCTACACTTTGTATCCCCCTGGGCCTGAAGCTGGCACTAGGTAGGTACCAGTACTAACAATCATAGCCAGCATCCTACTGTGCACTTACTATGTGCTAGGCACAATAAGAATTGCTTTCTGTGCATTTAATCCTCAAAACAACGATCATCTCCATTATACATAGGAGAAAGATGAGGAGCAGACACACGAGCACAAAGTAGCAAAGTCAGGACTTAAATTCATGCCTTGGCAGAGGAATCTGTCTTCTCCATGATTGCCATTTATCAGTCAATGTTGGTCATTGATTAAACATCCAGTGACTTGCAAATGCCTGCATGGAGAGCTGTAGGAATTTGGATTTCCAGTAAAGATGGCCAATCTGGGGTTCAGCCTAACGTCTACCCTTCTCTGGGCCCTGTTTACTCACCTATATCATAAAGGTATTTGGCGCTCTGCCTGTTAGGGTAGAGTAGAGGGGCCTGAGGAGGGTCACTTTCTTAGGGCAGCCTGTCAGTGTCAGGAACCCCTAGAGGCCAAGGTCAGGTGGGATTGTAACCTAAATCAAAATCCCAGGGCAGTCTAGGGGTACAAATATGGGGAGAGGCCAGGAGGGGTTGAATGCCCCAACAGTGAGCCCAGGCCTTTGGGGTCTCTGTCCTTCACAACTAACCTTTGCACCTTAAGTCTCCATACCTCCACCTCCAACTGACCTTTGAAGAGAGAAGAGAGCTGAGGGAATATTCAGAAAAGCCACATTTGTTTCTTAAGCAGCCAAGATCCACCCACCCCAGAGAATTCAGTTTGGTGGCCCAGGCCTGGTCCTGAACTGTGTTAACAGAGGAAAAGGGGGAGGGGGAAAGGGGGAGGAGTCTCGAGCCCCAGAGCAAAATGACTCTGGGATCAGAAGGTAGGAGGGAACAGAGACATACCACACACACACACACACACACACACACACACACACACTCTGAATTCCCCCCCCCTCCCCCCCAGAAACATGCCTTGGAGGAAGTGTAGGGATAATGTTCCTTAGAAGTGAGAATGGTGAGAATTGTCTCTCAAACCTGGGACATATTATCAGGAAGGACCAGTCCCTTGAAAAGGACATCATACTTGGTAAACTGGACAGAAAGAGGAAGCCCCCTCAAGGAGAGGGATAGACACAGTAACAGCAACAACAGGCTCAAACATAACAATTGTGAGTCACACAGAACCAACTGGATGGTACCTAACAACAGGTACATGCCATAGATAACCACAGCCCCAACCCATCCTCAGTCAGGCACAGACAACTTAATCTGTATTTGTTGCAGAGAGTGGGGAAATTGGGGGTGGGGTGGGGAGTAGGGTAGGTACGTATCATGCCCTGACAGTAAACCTCAGCTTCTCTAAACACAAGAGTAGTTCAGCTGTCTCTTCTGTTCAATCTAGTGGGACTGACTACTCCCTGAGGCCAAAGCTGAGGCTCCAGGGTCCCCAGGATCAGGAAGA